TGCTCTGACATCTAGGACCTTCCTGTGTCATGGAATATTAATGCAGTCTTTAAATTGCAACAGTATTCATACCTTTGATTATATGTCATTTCTCGATCTCATTAACTTTTTTTTTTCCAGCCTAAATGTTAAGGTGTCGATTGGTGCAAGCATGTGACAACTGTGGGCCACGTGAATCAGGTGATTTCAGAAAACAGCTCCTCTGACCCACGATGACTGCAGCCCTGGCCAGCCTGCAGATTGGAGCCATGGGTTATGAAGAGGAGGGGTGGGTGGAAAGCTCACATGGTTAGCACATCCAGACGACAGTGACTGCCTGTGGCCATGCAGATAGGGGCAGAGTACGCTTTCCCAGCCACCAGTTGCCTCTGATTGTCTTCTTGTCTCTCTGATGTCCATGACTTTGCTCAGTGCCACGTGCATCCTGGCTCCAGGCTCAGCCCTCTCACCTGTCCTTCTCTGCCACCTTCCGCTCCACCCCGCCTTAGTCCTTAACCTCAGCTCCTTGTCCACCCCAGGAGGGCACCTTCCCAGGCCCTAGACCTCCCGTTGGCAGCAGCGAGAGACGCCGAGTGGCCTTTCCAGGGGCTTCCCAAGGCTGGGTTGCTAAAGCGACTGTGAAGAGTACCTGCCCGTGTGCAGCCATTGATTCCACTGTGTCATTTTCCGGGCTCCCCTTGCCAGGCCCGCATGGCAGGGTGCGACCCGGAGCTCCACAGAAGCGACTTCAATATGTGGGCCAGCGCCTAGCAAATGGGAAAACATTTTGAAGCCGCAGGCTTCTCCTGAATTAAATATTTACTCATTTCATGCCTCTCCCTCTGTCCACGGAGAATCCAGCTCAAACTAAATAACAAAGGAGGTCAGGCTTGTGATCTGCACAAAAATACTTACCCTGCAATTATAGGAATATTGGGCCTTACAATTAATGCCAGGCCTGCGGAACTTGGACAGGGTCCAAACAACAGCAGCAGAAATGATGAAGGGGCAGAAAGATAAAGCTGGTAAGAAAAGCCCGAGAGGTAGGGCTTGTTTTGAATGGAAAGGACCTCGGGGGGGACTTAATTACAGTCTTCAACACATTCCGGGGCTGGAAAACAGCAACATGGGGGTCTCCAGTTCCACTAAGGACAGGCTTAACCTTTACCAGGTTTGGCTCCCTTTTGTGTCCAAAGTTTGGGTTTTGATTCCTTTTTTTCCCCATCATGATGGAGATGGAACCCAGGGCCTCATGCACACTAGGAAAGTGCTCTGCCACAGAGCTACACCCTCAGTCCTATCCTAAATTCTTTCTTTCTTTCTTTCTTTCTTTCTTTCTTTCTTTCTTTCTTTCTTTCTTTTTTTCTTTTCTTTTCTTTTTTCGTATTGGGATTTGAACTCAAGGGTGCTTAACCACTGAGCGCCATCCCCAGCCCTATTTTGTATTTTATTTAGAGACAGGGTCTCACTGAGTTGCTTAGGGCCTCGCTTTTGCTGAGGCTGGCTTTGAACTCACGATTCTCCTGCCTCAGCCTCCTGAGTCACTGAGATTACAGGGCTGCACCATGGCTTCTGGCCGTATCCTAAATTTTGATCTCACTTCTCTATGAGTAAAAACATATTGGACCCTCATCGCATGTTTATTTAGTTTTAACTTATAGAAATGTGTCTTTGAACTAATATTATCTTCGTGATGAAACATGCACAAAAATAGACAATGTTTAAGGGTGAAATAAACATAACTTTTAGTAGACACCAGAATGTTCTTCCCACATCTCGATGGGTCACCTTGCTATCACGTGCCACCTTGGAGTTCACTGTCTGAACTGGAAATGTTCCCAGCCACAAGGCGTTCGTGAGGGCAGGGATCTTGTTACACTCTTCTTGTCCAGCGCTATGTCCCCAGAACCTAGGACAGCAACTGACTTGGAGATTCCTATGCAAGCGATTCAGAGAGCCACTCACGGAGGATGCGGGAAAGACAGGAGAAGGAAGAGTGCAGAGAAAGATGGGACTTCAGGCAAAATCCCCACAGAAGGTACCTTCAGTGTGATTCTGAGGGAAGCTCAGAAGTGTGAGTTACTCTTCAGCAAAGGAGCTGGGGCTTCGGACACCCCCGCCACAGGCCCCTGGTTAACATGGTCTTGGGGGTGAGGATTGAGGGGTGATGGACACCAGCAGGGACCTCAAGCTCTCTGAGCAACCTAGGTGTCTCCAGTGTTCCCAAGGGCAGTCCTCCATGAAGGTCCCCAGTGCTGGCTAGAGAAAATACCCTGAGCCAGCACGGTGGTGCACACCTGTAATCTCAGCCACTCAGGAGGCTAAGACAGGAGGATCACAATTCGGAGGCCAGCCTTAGCAAGTGAGACCCTGTCTCTAAATGAAATATTAAAAAAGGACTGGGGATGTGGCTCAATGGTTAAGTGCCCCTGGGTTCAATCCCTGGTACCAGGAAGGAAGGAAGGAAATACCCTGGAAGGCAGAGGAGGCTGGCCAAAATGGTAACAGTGTAACCAAGGAGAACCACCACACTGACGTGTGCTACAGTAACTACTTCATTGCGCATGTCCTTTTCATGTTTGTTGACTGACTCACCAAACTGCGCAATGCCGGCTTCTGGAGCAAGCCCCTGTGCTCCTTATGGGGGTTCTGGAAACTGTCTTTTTCATGAAGGTGATAGGGTGATGTGACTACATTCCTTGCCCGGACCCAGATTACAGAGGAAGCATTCCAATCCAGGAGACAGCTCTTTAAAACCTGCATGGGGGGCGGCCCTCATGAGATGAAGGCCTTTATAAAACACCGACAGAGACCAAGTCCCGACACCAAGGTAGAGATCTGGCAGGCTGGAACGAGCCTGGACTTTGAGAAGGCGTTTCTGCAGGCTTGACTGAGCAGCAGAGACCTGCCGCCCCAGGAAATGTGGGCCAAGGACCGAATGCCCTGTTTGCCAGCTCGTGCTGCAGCTGGGTGACCTTGGACAGAGTTGGGCTTCTGTCTGCAGGGACTTCTCGGCATGCATTCAAAGGCACAGGGCCCGGCCTACCATGCCTGCTTCCTGTCTGGTGGCTATAGAAATACTCTGCCTCTGAAATACTCAGAAACCCTTAGAAGAGGAAAATGACAAGGACCTAGAGCCACTGGTTTGTGATTTGTAGCGTGGACGGACAAGCAGCCGTGTAATAGTGGCGTAACTTGTTAAATATTCTGGATTGTTCTCTGAGGGCCCAGAACTTGTCCCATGGCCATCTTGCCCAAAACTAGAACCCGTGGTTCCCTCTCCAAGGACATCACCCTATGACCTCCGGGTCCCATCTCTATCATTTTAATGAAGATCTCAATTCTATCCTCCAAGACACTGTGGGGTTAAAAGTGTGCAGATGTGGATTCTAAGGCCGCTGGATTTCTGAGTCACCAGACCATGATCAAATTTATATTTTTCTGCGCCGTCCGCCTTTTAGATGGTGTTTGTGTTTCATGTTAAATGTAATTCTCTTTGGATTCCCTGGCTGCCTGGGACCTCGTCCTGCTCTGTCCTAGAGCCCCTCCCCCCAGGCGCTGCCTCTCCATGTGGCCTCTGGGGTCGATCCATTTTTCTCCCAGTGCCTTAATGAGTGATGATTTCTCGAGACAATCAGATCGGCTGTGCGGGAGATTCAGCTCCATCATTACGACAGCCGGATACATCACAGCCACCATTTTCCAAACCCATGTTTTTCATCACACAGATATGACTTGATTAAACCTTTGTGATATTACATTGGGATATTTGAAAATAGCCTTTAGTGACCATCACGTGCGTCTTGTTTCTGATAAATCTATTACTTTTACATACAGGGTTTGAGAATAGAGACTCCGAACGTACCAGAGTGCCCAAGTCCACATCCCAGCTCTGCCACCCACTGCTGTGTAACTTTGGTCAAGTTGCTCACCCTCCCTGGGCCTCAGTTCCCTAGTCCATTAACCAGAGCTTTTCATAATCTGAATTGAATGTCCATGCTAGCTACCACTTGACCTCTTTCTGCCTTCAAGGTCAGCCTTTATGTGAAGGTTAATAAAAATGTTTTAAGGGAAAAGGTTGGCACAAAAATAAGTTGGCCATGTCCCCAACCCTACCTCTACCCTCTTCAACAAGCAAAAGGAACAACTGAAGGCCAGGTGCATTGGCACATGCCTATAATTCCATCAACTCGCGAAGCTGAGTCAGGAGTATCACAAGTTCAAGGCCAGCCTGGGCAACTTAGTAAGGCTCCGCCTCAAAATAAAAAATATAAAGGGCTGGGGATGTGACTCAGTGGTAGAGTTCTTGACTAGCATGAACAAGGGCCGGGGTTCCATCCCCAGCATGGGGAAGTAGGGGGAGGAAAAGCTGAAACATATGCTCAAGTTAGTGAGCCACTGACCCAGCCTGAATTAGGCACCCACTATATTCTGGACCCTTGGAATCTCACAGGTATCTAGAGAGCTGGACAGAGGTACAACTAATCCATACACATACACTCATGCCAAAAAAAAAAACCTGTGCCAAGTCCTAGGGGAAATTAAAGATCTAATGAGAGGGGAGAAGCAGGGAATCTGCTTATTATTGCTGACTACCCTGGCTTATACCTGTATTGGTCAGTTTTTTTTCCCCATACTGCTGTGTAACAAATAACCCTCAAGTCTCAATGGCTTACAATAACAAGCATTTCTTCTTCTCCCGTTGAACTTGGCTCTGGGCTATAGGCTAGATTTAGGTTGCTCCATACATCTCTGTCTTCCAGGATGAGCCACTATGAGGCCAGCAAGAAGCCAACACAAACTGCACAGACATAGTTAAAGTCACTGATCATGTCACTTCTGCTGATTTCCTATGGGCCAAAACACATCACACAGTCAAGCAACATTAATGACATGCAGAAGTATGCTCTGTCTACTCTATTAAGAGTAGACAAAAGCACATTGGGATGGTTGTATAATTTTATTATCCAGATGGAGTTAAAGAATTGGGAGCAAAACTGTAATCTATCCTGAGTGTTGTGGGCAAGGCCAAAGAAGAAAAGAAGGCAGGTTTATCCAAGAGCAAAGAGCTGCTCCAGGAGACAGGGTGTGGCTACTTTATTTATTGGGTAAGAAACAGATGCTCAATTCCATTTCCTTCCACTTAAATCAAAGAAGAATGCATTTGCTACGTGACGGGGCAGTCTGTGGGGTTATCGGATTCTAGTTTGACTATTTCTGAAAGCTCAAATGCTGTCTCCAGGGTTCGGTTGCTCTTGTTGCATCTTTCGGTCCTAATTTTCTGTATAGTTGGAAGTTGAACTTGGCCTGAAAATGTTGTAGCCTTTACAACTTGAGATACTAAAGCGGGAGGGGGAGGGGGAGCTTCTTCTGCATCATTGGCACGACAAATCACATTGCACACTGGGCCAGCTTGTCCCATCTGGATGTCCCTGAATGGATGACTTCCACCCTGCAGGAGAATGCACTAGGTGACTGGCTAGAATGGTGGTGACAATGAATGTCTGCCCCAACAAGACCAATCTGAGCAGAGGAGACTTCGCCAAAGAAAATCAAGGTATCCAGCAGCCGTCGTCCTTATACCTTGAGCTTAATAAAACACCCAACCCCTCAGTAGCTTCACACAGCAACTTATTATTTCTCATGATTCTTCTGCTGATCTTGCAGGGGCTCACTCCTGTACCTGCTGTCACATGATAGGTCTCCTGGGACTGGAGAGTCTCAAATGACCTCATTTGTGTGTCTGGAATTGGGTGCTGGCTGGCTGACTGAAGTGCCTGGGTTCTCCTCCACACGAGCTCTTACCCTTTGGTGCACTGGACGGGGCTTCCTCGGAGCCTGGTAGGCTCAGGGGTCCAAGCTGTCTGGTCTCGTAAGGCCTAGACTCAGAGGTCACTTCCACTGTATTTATTTAGTCAGCTTTTGCACTGCATTCACCAAAAGACCTAACAAGAACAAATAGAGGAGGAAAAGTTTATTTGGGGCTCATGATTTCAGAGGTCTCAGTCCACAGCCGGCTGACTCCATTGCTTTGGGCCTGAGGTCGGATAAAACATCATGGCGGAAGGGTGTGGTGGAGGAAGGCAGCTCAGGACATGGAACCAGGAAGCAGAGAGCTCTACTGTCAAGGTACAAAATATAAGCCCCAAAGACAATCCCCTAGGGACTCACCTCCTTCAGCCACACCCTCCCTGCCCGCAGTTACCACCCAGCTAATCCCTACCAGGGGATTCACCCACTGATCAAGACTCTCACAACCCAATTACCTCACCTGTAAACTTTCTTATATTTTCTCACACATGAACTTTTGGGGGATACCTCATATCTAAACCATAATATTCGATTAGTCAAATCAAGTCACAAGCTAGTCCAGTTGCAAGGGGAAGGGAAATAGATTCCACTTGTGATGGAAGGACAGGTGAAGTCACCTGGCAATAAGGCCTGGGAGAATTTGTGACAGTCACCTTATTTTTTTTAATATTTTCTTAGTTGTCAATGGATCCTTTATTTTGTTTGTTTGTTCATTTGTTTATATGCGGGACTGAGGATCAAATCCAGGGCCTCACATATGCCAGGCAAGCGCTCTACCACAGCCCCCTGTGGCAGCCATGTTTGCAAACAATCTACTCCAGTGGACTTAGGCTCACTGTAGGGGTGGGTCCAGGATTCTTGGTCGTCAACAAGGATGCTCAGGGCACACTTTGAAAGTGCATTAGGATCCTCCACACTACAGTACTCCCCTGTCAGATTGTTCCTCTCACCTCTTCCCTTCAAGGCAAATCCCAGCCACACACCTCCTACAGGAAGCCTTCCGTGACCCCTCTGCTCTCCCCCAGTGGACAACTGCAGCCAGCTGTCTTAAGGGTTCTGAAACTGATTCTCTTGTGTCTTTTGGGGGCAGGGATGCTGGGAACTGAACTCAGGGGTGCTCTACCACTGAGCTACATCTTCAGTCCTTTTACATTTTATTTAGAGACAGGGTCTTGCTAAGTTGCTGAGGCTGGCCTCGAACTTTGAATCCTCCTGCCTCAGCCTCTCGAGTAGCTGGGACTACAGGCATGCACCTTGTTTTTGTTTGTATGGTTTTTGGTTTTGTGTTTTCTCACAGAGAGCCCTCCCCTCCTAGATTACCAGATCTTGGAGGACAGAAAGGATATCTTAGATGACACCTGCCCCTGCCTCATGACATGGAGGGCAGGGATGACCTCACCAGCACTTAGCAACTGATGGATGGATAGAGCCTCCACTCCCTGTAGCACCTTGCCCTTCCTTCAAACCTCCCTAAGACATGAACCCTGTCCCTGTGCTTAAATGATGCTGTGCTTTGGACATGGTTCATCCTCCACGGATTCATGTGTTGGAGACTTGGTCCCCAGTGTAGTGAGGGTGGGAGGAGGTAGAAGTTTTTAAGAGGTGACACCTACAAGGAAGTAGTTAGGTCATTAGGGGTCTTGCCTTCAAAAGGGATGAACAGAGTTGCCATAAGTCCCTAGTTAGTTCCTAGGAGATGAGTTGTTTAAAAGGAGCAAGGCTGATCCCTCCCTGCTCTCTGGCTGTCTCATGTGATGTCTCCCTCTCATAAGCTGTCCCACCATTGTGCCCTCTAGCAGGGTTGAACAAATACAGTATCAATCTTGGATTTTTAGCCTCTAGAACTGTGAGCTAAATAAACCTCTCTTCTTTATACATTATCCAGCCTCAGGTATTTTGTTATAGCATCAGAAAACTGGCTGACACAGGTAGTTTTCTAGCTCTTTGTACAAAAAAAAAAAATTCAAAAGTTAGGGGAGCACAGGGTGAAGAGATGAGCTATAAAACATTCCTGGATCCAACATAAAGGAGTAAAACCTGATACGGTTTTAATTCAAAAGAAAAGAGAATAGCACTGTCATTGCCACAAGCTACAGGTTCACTTACCTTTTGCTACCTTCTCCTGGGATAAAGTTATCCAAATTCAGCCATTTGTGTGCTTCTGCAGCTTGGCTTCATTCCATGGGGTGATGAGAATCAAATCCCAAGCACACTTCTTAACTTTCTCATTCATTCAGTTCTTTTTTTTTTTTTTTTTTTTTAATTTATTTTTTAGTTATCGACGGACACAACATCTTTGTTTGTATGTGGTGCTGAGGATCGAACCCGGGCCGCAAGCATGCCAGGCGAGCGCGCTACCACTTGAGCCACATCCCCAGCCCTCATTCAGTTCTTAAAAAACAAGAAAGACCACTATATTATGAGGATCTCTAACATTAAGTATCTTAGCCATTATCTAACACTGATTAATCAGGCCAGTCTGATATTTTTGCTATGTTATTGGACCCATGTAAGGAAAGAATTTGGTTCAGGATCCAACAGCGGCTACCACTGTGAACTCTATGGAGTCCTCTCTCTCCTGCCCATCTCCACACTTTCTAGAATCTTCCATAATGAAATATAATCCCATAAATTGGGAAGAAATACAAAGTTCTCCCACTATCCCATTCAACAAACACCAGGGAAGTGTCCTGTACTTTTCTGGGACTTTTGTCTTTGACAAAGTTTCCACAAAGCCTTGAGACACTCCCAACAGGCATCCATGGCATCTTACCAAAAGCATAAAACGACCTTATTTCCCTTGGCAGAAGGGTCTGTGACATAACTCCAGAACCAATGCTCTCCTGGAATGCAGGCCGCCTTCCAAACACATGCCACGCATCTCACAGGGTCGGCACTCGCCTCTGCAAAGATCATTTGATTTGCGAGGTTTGAAACGCATCCACATTAAACATGGGCTACAGCATTTTCTTTCCCGCAGATTTCATGTCAAGAGACAATCCAGCCCTTTGTCCTTAGCTAAAAGTCTGGAGCTGTGACATGCCATATCATGAGAAATATCCCCAAGAAGTCAAGAGAGGTGGCTGACAGCAGGTCACCAGTGTGATGTGTGCTGAGATGGCTAATGTGGTAGGATCCCTTTGTTCATCCACTCAGCAAATGTTCACTAACTAGGAACTAATGCATGAGCCCAGGGATAGCATAATCCCATTCCAAGGAACAGAGCCTGTCCTCACACAGCTCACATGGTTACGTGCAGAAAAACTTATGAATTAAATTGGGCATGGGCTGCGGATGTAGCTCAGTTAGTAGAGTGCTTCCCTCACATGCACAAGGCCCTGGGTTCAATCCTCAGCACCACAAAAGAAAAACAAAACTGGACATGGTGGTGCACGCCTATAATCCCAGCAACTGGGGAGGCTGAGGCAGGAGGATCACAAGTTCAAGGCCAGCCTCAACAACTTAGCAAGGCCCTAGAGAATTTGTGGCTCAGTTGTTAAGCACCATCCTTGGTATCAAAAAAAAAAAAAAAAAACTTAGAAATTGAAAGTATCAGAAGTGGACAAAGAATTTAACATACCTAACTTACCACACAAGCCACCTCAGCAGCACGGCCACTGTAGGGCATTAGTTGTCTTGTCCTCATGATCACGGGGCTGACTAGGAGCTGGGCTTCCTGCCACCGCCCAGCATCACCAGAAGATCATACGGCTTATCACTAGCCTGGGAGAAGATCCAAATTCCACATCCCAACTACAGTTCCTACTGAATGGGAATCACATTCGCACCATCATAAAGTAGAAAAATCATAAATTGAACCTTCTTAATTTGAGCCTGTCTGTATTTCATGTTGTCTTTTTCTACGTTTCTATCTCTTCTTCATTTCTCCTCCTCCTCTTTCTGTCTGTCTTACTCCTTCTCTGATTACTATCATCTCTTTCCCCTTTTGGATTCTTTAATTTTCTTTAATGAGGTATTAAACCCAGGGGTGCTTAACCACTGAGCCACATCCCCAGCCCTTTTAAATATCTTATTTAGGGACAGGGTCTCACTGAGTTGCTCAAGGCTTGGCTAAGTTGCTGAGGCTGGCTTTGAACTCGTGATCCTCCTGCCTCAGCCTCCCAAGCTGCGGGGATTACAGGCGTGCACCACCATGCAAAGCTGGATTCTTTAGGATTCATCTTTCCATTCCTGTTTAACCTCTACAACATTTTGCACTTCAGCCTCTTTTTCCTCTGCCCCATCTTTGAAAAAGCTAGTCAAGACAAGGAACTGAATGTGCTTTGGGGGAGGGATCTTGTTTCTCATTTGCAAAATTATCTTGCTTATTTTTTTGGGGGGGTGTTGTTTTTGATTGTTTGGTTTTGGTGTTTTGTTTTGTTTAAGTTATTTTGTAGTCGTAGATGGACAGCATGCCTTTATTTTATTTGTTTATTTTTATGTGGTGCTGAGGATCAAACCCAGTGCCTCACACATGCTAGGCAAGCGCTCTGCTACTGACCTACAGCCCATGCCCCGATGGGGTTTTGGTGTTTTGTTTGTTTGTTTTTTGTATTTTGAAAAGAAAGAAGTGAACCAGACTTTGAGGAGGAAAAAATAAACAAGTAATCAAATTATGGATTTGTCCTAAGTTGGTATGATGTGTGTTCTTCATTAGGTACTGTCTGTGGTCCCTTGTCCACTGTTCTCAAAATGGATAAGGAACTCAAAGATTTATTTTTAACCCCACAGGAAAGCTCACATCTGTAGTCCCAGCTACTCCAGAGGCTGAGGCAGGAGGATCACAAGTTCAAAGCCAGCCTAGGCAACTTACTGAGATCCTGTCTAAAAAATAAAATAAAAAGGGCTGGGGATGTAGCTCAGTGGTAGAAGTCTTGCCTAGCATGCACAAGGCACTGGGTTCAATTCCCAGCACCAGGCCAAAAAAAAATCCATGGGGAAAAAAACATAGGAAAAAAGGTCAAATCATATGGGCAACCTGGTACAGTGACTCAGGTCTGTAACTCCTACAACTCAGGAGGCTGAGGCAGGAGGATTTCAAATTTGAGGCCAGCCTCAGCAACTTAGAAAGGTTCTGTTTCAAAATAAAAAGGACTAGCAATATAGCTCAGTGGTAGAGCACCCCTGGGTTCAATCCCCAGTTCCACCAAAAAAAAAAAAAAATAGCAATTTACAGAAAGGAGACCCCTAATGACTAACCAGAAGATGAAGATATCATCAACTTCAATAACTTATTTCTCTGATATATGCAAATTCAGACAGCATCATTGCAAATTGAAGGCATTGACAAAACTTCTGGAGCTGAATAAAACTGAGTGATATTGTCATGCTGGAGGATTATCTGGTGGTGCTTAGGAATGAAGCCTGAGCAAATCCTCTGACCCAGAAAGCCCCCAGGTCTTTACTTCAGAGATGCTTGTGATGGTGGCAAAACCACATGCTGGAATTTCCTGTAGCAGTCAGAAGCAATCGACCAGATTTACACACAGCACATGGGCAGATCTTTAAGACAGCATGATGAGTGCAAAGGAAGAAGATTTATAGCTTTATATTAAATTACTATTCTTATAAATTAAAAGCATATGTATACCAAAAAAACTCTATGTATCTTTTTTTTTTTTTTTGTACAAGGGATTAAACTCGGGCACTCAACCACTGAGTCACATCCCCAGCTCTTCTTTATGTTTTATTTAGTAACAGAGTCTCACTGAATGGCTTAGGGTCTCGCTAAGTTGTTGAGGCTGGCCTCAAACTTACGATCCTCCTGCCTCAGCCTCCCAAGCTGCTGAGATTACAGGTGTGTGCCACCACTCCCAGCTCCATGGATGTTTCAAAAGATATATATTAGATTGAGTGTTGGACCTTGGGGGGAAGATGGGGAGAAGAATGGAGCAGAGATGGAGGTTAGAGAGGAAAAATAAGAAAGCAAAACGAGTAAGGCCTGTGCCTGGATCAATGAGGGTGACAATGGATCATCATCTGAGGTGTATGATTAACTTGACTCGCTGCATCTGAAGGCCAGAGGGTGGAAAGAACAGAAGAAAATGAGAAAGGACTGGAGGGAGGAAGAGAAGGGGAAAATAAGGCAAACCTGGCTGTTGCTGTCAGGGAGTCCACAGCAGACATGATAGATACTCTTTTTAAGAGGAGAAAAATGAAGTTCAAGATGAAGCCATCAAAAGAGTTACCCAGGGTCATGTAACAAAGAGAAGCTCAGGCCCACACCCTCCCGTTTCTGGTCCAAGTTCTCTCCATAGCCTCTTTCTAGAAATGCAGGAAAGAATTCCCAATGGCCCCAAATCCAGCATTGCGCCAGATTATCAAGATGGTGGGTTAAAGGATGTAGGGAGAAGGAAGGTGGTCAAGTGGGCCCCGTCAATGGACCAAGGACTCGGGTCCTTTGGAGCAGGACTCTGCTCTGCCCAGACCAGACAGCTCGGCAGTGGCTCAGAGGAACTGGCAGTGGCCCACAGGGACCAGCAGCCACTGCTAAACAAAACAGCAGGGAGATTCAAGGCTCACGTACTCAAGGACAAGGCGGGACTTGCAGAGCAACTCTTTGGGGGCCTTGTCTGCCTCTCCTTTTACTGCCCTGGGTTGCTCTGGAGAGTTCCTTTCATCCTAACTCAGCTTTGTGTAAATATGTACACAGAATTTCTTCAATTGTAAAGAAGAGAAACAGCTCAAACAGCCCGTAGGGAAAAAACACCGGGAGTGTTCCTTATCTGTTTGTGTAACTTATCACTCACTGAAATACAGTCCACTTCAGGCATGGCTGGATCCAGAGCATTCAGCAATAGCAGAGGTCACAGCCCGTGTCTCTGTCTGTCTCTGTCTCTCTCTTCCTCCTCCTTCTCTTCCATCCCTGTCTTTTCTTCAGTATTGACTTCATTCCAAGGCAAGATCTCCCCATCTTCCCAATATAGACAGGTGCTGGCCAATCCGGGTTGACATTCCGCTCTCTCAGCAGTACCAAACAGCACAGGGTATCTCTTTTCCAATAACCAAACAGAAGTTGCAGGAAGGGCTGTGATTGGTCTGCCTTATGTCACATGCTCAAGTCAGAACCAATCATTGCAACCAGGGGTATCCTGAGCTCTGATTGGTAGACCTCCTGTAACTACCCTCAGAGTGCCTGTGTATGTATGGTAGAGGCAGGAGGAGGGTTAAGGTCAGTACCAAATGGGGGCAGCAGTTACCCCCAAAGGAAATCAGGTTACTGTGTAAGCACAAATAATAGATGTCCATTATTATGTTTACTTATGTGTATGCATGCATGTGATTGTATATGTATATATTTATGTGTGCCTTTGTAGATGGTACTTTTATGTATGTATGTATGTATTTATTTTTGGTACTGGAGATTGAACCCAGGGGTGCTTAACCACTGAGCCACATCCCCAGCCCTTTTTAGTATTTTATAGAGACAGGCTCTCATTGAGTCACTTGGGGCCTCACTGAGTTGCTGAGGCTGGCTTTGAACTCGCGATCCTCCTGCCTCAGCCTCCCAAGCCACTGGAATGACAGGCGTACGCCACCGCGCCCTGCTGTATTTATTTTTATTCAGTTATTTCTACTTAGCTAATATGACCACATGGCTCAAAATTCAAAAGATACAAAAGAGTGGACAACACAGTTGCCTTCCGACTCTCATCCCAGGCACCCAGCCAGTGACCTTTTCAGAGGTGGCCAATATTACTGAGTTCTTATGTTTCTTTACAGAGATATTGTGTGCATATGCCAATCTGCAACCAGTTCTCCACCCCTCTTCCACATCCCCTTTGATCTAAATAGATGCTTTCTGTACTTGGGTTTGCAACTATAGGCTTGCATTTTATAATGAAGGAGAAGCAGCCTAATGCTGTCAGAGATTCCTCTTGGCAACCCCACCCCAAAGTCAGGCTAGGCTGGGCTGCAGGGAGGCTGGCCTAGGGACGGGTAGTGTCACACAGTGAGGCCTGCAGAGCTCCCTGCCAGCTATTGGCCCTGGGAAGAGCCTTTCACTTCCATGAGCATTTATAAGAGAAACCCAGCCAGCATGGTGGCCTGCCTGCGGCCCGGGACCTCTAGCACAGGATCTTGGCCTGCCTCTGCCCGGGCACCTGTTTTCAGGCCAGGTCAGCAGACCTGCTACAGGCCTGGGCAGTGGCCCCATCCCTCAGCCATTCTACCTCCTCAGGGCCAGAGGAATTGACCAAGTTTCATTCTGCTTGCAGGAGCCAGTGCAGGGTGAATTTTTTTAAATATTTATTTTTTAGTTGTAGTTGGACACAATACCGTTTATTTTATTTGTTTTTATGTGGTGCTGAGGATCGAACCCAGGGCCTCACGCGTGCTAGGCGAGCGCTCTACCACTGAGCCACAACCCCCGCCTGACAGGGTGAATTTAACAACAACAAAAAAAAAAAAACCACGAGTAAGCCGGGTGTGGTGGCGCGCACCTATAATCCCAGCAGCTCAGGAGGCTGAGACAGGAGGATCGCAAGTTCAAAGCCAGCCTCAGCATCTTAGCAAGGCGCTAAGCAACTCAGTGAGACTCTGTCTCTAAATAAATACAAAATAGGGCTAGGGATGGGGCTCAGTGGCTAGGCACCCCTGGGTTCAGTCTCCAGTACCAAAGAAAAGGAGGTGGGTGAGATTACCAAAGATGGTCTCTACTCAGATTAGCTATGGGGGTGGGGGCTGAGTAGAGATCCATGCAGCAGCCGTAACCTTGGCCTTTCAGGTAAATGAGGTCTCATCCTGCCATAAGCTACTTCCATCCCTGCCTCAGAAAAGGGAGGACTGAATGGTGGCCTTGCTCATCAGGAGGCCCTCTGGCAACATAGACAGAGCAGTGGTTTGGCTTCGCTGCTGGTTACGTGCTCTGCCTGCATAGGTGTTTTTAAAATATGATCCCATTTAACCCTTACAACCACCCAGTGAGGCAGGAAGTAGTATGATCCCCTTTAACAGACAGGGACACTGAGGCAGAGCCCTGAGTGACTCGGCCCTGCCCGTGCCCATCTCCTGCCAGTGCTTGGCAAACTTCCATCAGGAGCACAAAATGAGAAGCCCGAAAGTGACCAATCATGGGTCGTGGCAAGGGTGCTCGCCCGGCACCTGACGTCATCCATTCACCTGTTGATGCTGAAACCCAGGAGAGGGTTTCCCACCTTCCCAGAGCAGCCCAGGGCCGAGCGAGGGGGCTGGGTCCCGTGCCCTTCCTCCCTCTCACCTCCGTGGAAGCCGCACTTCTAATGGCCAATGGCATGGAGAGGCTGGGAGCAGCGCAGAGCAGTACGGGTCACAGCGGTTAAGTGTTGTCATAATTCTCTCCCCGGAGCAATGAACTCCATCTCCCTCCAGCCTGTGTGGGAGGAATGTAATCCAGTTCTCCTTGGAACTCAGAGCACAGAGTGACTCCTTTCTCTTTTTTGTGGTCAGGAAATGAGTTTCGCTCTGTTTTTCACTTGAGGGCTTATTATGCAATTGCTTAAAATATGCAACGGGATGCAGATATTTATATGAGGATGTTGAAATGATGGCTTTTTAATGGAAGCAATCTAATTATGCCATATCTGCACCCTTTCCATTTTTTAAAAATTATTCTTACGGTGTTTTAAAGAAAGAAGAGATCGTGTGTGTGTGTGTGTGTGTGTGTGTGTGTGTGTGTGTGTGTGTCTGGGTTGTTTTTGTTTTTGTTTAGGGTATGTGGTTTTATTTAATCTCCAGACTGTTTAAATGGATTGCAAAGGAAAAAAAAATCCAAAAAGTATATGGCTGCGACTTAACAAGATAATTAGCAGCTGCACTTTATAACAAAATCTAAGGCAATTATCACTTCAGGAGGACCCGGAGGACTCCCAGCTGCCAACATCCTGCTTCGCTGCCAGAGGGAATGACATCATAACTGCTCCAGACAAAGGGGAGGTGGTTTCTGGTCACTGTGATGTCACTTGCTCCAGTAGACAGTCCCAGACAGCTGGGAGACAGGTGGCTGCTTCCTAGGATGGTAAAGAGGAAGATAGGCACCGAAGGACATCAGGGCGTTGCAGCCGAACCCTGCGCCCCCAGGCTGCTCCCGATGGGCCACCAAAATGAAACGTGGGGGTTCAGACTTTTCCTCAGGTCCTCGCAGGACCTTCTTGAGAGGTTGAATTTTTCCTCTCCTCCTCTCTGAAGCCTTATTTCTAAATCTTTATCTCAACTAGTTAAATATTAGTGACTTCTTGGAGCTTGCTCTTGGTCAAGTTCACCACTTAGCCAACCTGTGTCCCCTCACAGATGAGCACTGCTAAAGTGCAGTGGTTAGCAAGTCAAAGCAGGCTGAAGGACACGATTTGTATTTTCACCTCAAGGTTGCTTTCTTTCGCCCTATGGCCGACTATTTGACAATCTCGGCTCCGGAGTGCTTCTTTGATCAAAAACAGAGCTCTCTAGCACAAAATGGTCAAATTCTAGCTAACAAACTGGAATTTGCCATTGATTGAATTTTATGTGTCAAATGGAACCAAGATTATAAATGCCAGCAAATGTTTAAGGGCATTGTGGGAGAGCCCACAATTGAATGCATGGTCAATCTTGCAATGGTTCCGAAGGATGGGGAAAAGCCATCTGGCTTCCTTGTAAACTGTAGAAGTTACAGACCAACAGACTGATTCTGGTCACAGACAGCCAAATGTGCCTCCACCCACACCCTTCATAAAACTATAAAGCACCAGCCAAAGGCCTTGTGTGTCACATTACCAGATGACATTCTTGATGCCGGGGTGGAAGTCTGTCCTCTTAAAGCCACCCCCCATAGGCCTCAATTATAAACTAGAAGAGAATAAAAAAAAGGTCAGGACATCTTTCATTCCTTCTCCCCACCTTGGCTAAAGGCTGGACCTTATAGGAAAGGAAATGGGGCTTAGCAACCCAAGAAAGCCACCGATTCCTGAGACTCACTCAATACACTGAGACTAACGCCTGAAGCAAGAAAGACAGGCCTGCCCAGAATCCAGCCTCCCTCTGGACCAAGGCAGAGTTTTGCAGCCAGGGGCTCAGTGAGCAACCAGCACAGCAGATTCTTTGGCCCAATGCCATCCTCAGACTTCTAGAAAACTTCCTGCTTCCTTTATGGAAAACAGGTGTCCATGTCTTCATGCATTAGGCCAGATGCCAGGCAGGACCCTGGGCTAAGGGACTGTTCCTGTTATCTGTTGCTGCTTAACAAACTACCCCAACTTTCATGGTATAAACAGTAACCATTTTAGTATGCTCCCGATTCTATGGGTCAGGAACTCAAACAGAGCACAACAGGCCTATCTCTGCTCTATACTGTCTGGGGCCTTAGCTGGAAAACAGGAATGGCTGGAGGTGACAAAATGACTGGAGGCTAAAGGCTGACAGCTCCTTCACTCACATGTCCAGTGCTTGGGCTAAAATGACTTACACATGACCTCCTTGTATGGATTGAGCTTCCTCACAGCATGGTAGCCAGTAGTAGTTAGCCATCTTCCCTGAATGCTCTGAGCTCCAAGTGTGAGTGTTACAGTAAACAAAGCAGACGTTACGTGGCCTTTTATGAGCCAGTTTTGGAAGCCACATAGTCTTGTAGTAATATTTGGGTTGAAGCAGTCACAAGTCCACCCAGTTTCAAGGGTAGGGGCCATAGAATCCATCTCTTGACAGAAAGAGTATCAAGAATTTGCTGCCATGGTTCCAAACCACCAGGACTGACTCTCTACAGTGCCCACTCTCACTTTCAGCAAGTTTTGAGCACTAAGGCAATATATTTCCATCAGTAGCACTGACATGGTGACACGAGGGATGGGGAGGAGAGAGAATGCAGGCCAAGAGTAAAACTTCCGTTTGTGCTTTTGCAATGTCTAATTCTGCTCTGTCACTTCTGAGAGTCTTATAAAGGTTGCTCTTTTCTGACCCTCGAAGCCTGAATGAAGGCTAGCTTAAGCCCTCTACTCCAGCCTGGGCCTTTTGCCCTGAGAAGGGAAGTGATTGAATAGAAAGCTACTGGCATCTGAGATTATGGACAGGGTTGAAGACAGGACAGTGTTCTGGGGTGTTTGTTTTCCACTCCAGTCCTCAAAATGCACCAGGTCACCTGCCTCCCAGCATTCGTCCAGGCCTTCACAGGTGCTGACATAAGCAGCCCAAGAGAGATCCCCAGGGGGAACTGCAAGGGGAATTCTAACCCAGGGAATCCATCCTCCAGGGCTCCTCCCATGTGTCCCCACCTTCTGTCCTTCTTACTGCTTAGAGAACCAAGGCTCAGACAGCTGTGACTTGTCCAGGGTCACCAACGTGTCAGCAGCTGAGTTGGAACTATGTGTCACCCTGCCCTCTGCCTTAGGGCATCCTCACAACTGGCTGATGGCCAAGAGTTAGACCTGAAGGAAAGCCACTAATCGCCTCAGCTTCTGACCGGCTCAGCTAGCCACCCTGGGCCTCTGGGCAGCTCTGGGCCTGTCAGGAGGGTCCTGTCCACCCCCCAGCAACCCACAGAGGCCCCCCAGGCTTCCAGAGCCACGTCACCACAGCCTGCGGTCTGCCTGGCTAATGGCAGAGACTGCGGGGAAGCGAAGCCGAGGTAATTACAGCATCAAGGAATCACAAATGGATCTGCAAGATGACATTAGGAGCATTAGACCTGGCACGGCCGCCTCCGGAGAGGTGGCTGGGAGGAGGCTGGGGCCAGAACTAGGGACACAGACAGTCAGCCTCTGTCTCACCCCACCCCCTTGGTCCCCAGCCGGGACTGCAGGGCCACAGTGGCAGGACTCACAAGCCCCTTGCAGAAACCACGCTGGCTGCCAGTGTCGCGTGTGTCTTTCACAGTGAACTAGTTGCTTGAAACACAACTGGACTGCCCCCCCAGGAGGTTGCCTCAGATGAAGGGAGCCTGGCTTTGGGGAGGCAGAGGGTGACCTGGTAGACAATCCCCTCCCCAGTTCCCATGATCCTTTGCCATCCTAATGAGGCCAGGCAGGCCAAAGTTCTGTGGACCCATAATTACTATGTCTGTGGTGCAACTTGCCCCTCCCACAAGCCTAGTTGGGGGCAATGGCCATGGGGCGGAGCTTCCTGCATGGAATTTGTCCCTGGAAGAATTCCCCAGAGGGTGGAGGGGACTTGGGGAGGAGGAATTAGGAACAGCCTTGATCAGTCACTCTGGTCCATCTGAAGCCCGGGAAATGGGTCTGAAGCTCCAAGTCTGCCTTTGGCCAAAATTGACACCAGTAGGGTGTCACTGTAAGGAAGGAGGGGCCCCCCTGGGGCTGTCCGCTGGTAAAAATAGAGCTTGCCTATGTTCCTCCTGCCAAGTCGCCAAGCCTGGTGATTTATAAGGCTGAGAGCAGACATGTGTGTAAATGTTTTTGCGTGTGAGATGTGTAGCCAACCGCGGCCTGGCTTTTTGAAACTCACAAGGAGAGTGGGAGGGAGGGAGAGAGGGAGGGAGAGAGGGAGGGAGGGAGGGAAGGGAGAGAGAAGGCAGCCAGGGTGGGAAGCACACGGGCCACTTTTATGTAACACTCCTCTGATACACACCGCAGTGGGGATTGATGCTCTCTTTGAAGTAAATTGCATCCCGGTTCACCATAGCATGAAAGTTAAGATTTACCATGGCTGGGACCTCCGAGACCCTGCTGGAAGCTAGAATAATTAGCACAGCATTTGGCTGCCTCTCCTCCCGCTCTGCAGGCGGTGACAGGAGTGTCACTAATAGATCTTCCAGGCCTGGGCCCCGGGTGTTTGTCATGGGGTCCATGGTGGCGGTAAGGAATGAGGACCCCAGTCATCAGGAGAACAGGAGGCAGGAGGCAGGGTGGGGCTGGACTGATCTCATTGCCCTGGGCAGTGGGATCTGCTCCTCTTGGGGCTAGATGGCAAACCAGCCTCATCCCCCAGCTCAGCCCAGCCCAGCCGTCAGGTGCTTCCCTGTCAAATGAAGGGGCAGCAGGGTCATTACCAGCTCTCAGGAGCCCAGAGAGCTCATCTAGGGAACAGATGCCTCCTGTGCTACAGGTGGTCATCTTGGGGTGCCTGGCCAGTTTGGGGTATCCCCAGCTCCAATACTTAATAATTATCAAAAGGTAGTGCCTGCATCCCTGCAGATGTGTCTTCCTCCCCTCCCCCTCCTGCGCCACCCCTTCCCCCCAGGGATCCCCTCCTTCTTTCCCAGGGACCTGCTTTTTCCTAAGCAAAACTGAGAAGTGAATTGATCAAGGCGTCCTAAGTCCCAAGGGGAGAGTCTTAACAGCTTCCTGGTCACCCCAGCTCTGCTGCTAAGCAGCTGTGTGACCTTGGATAAGTTCTAACTCCTCTCTGGGCCTCAGCTTCCGCTTGGATTTCAGGATGGGGTGGGATTTTAACCAGATCGTTTTGAAAGGCTTCTGCTAATAT